CTGTAGTATATTAACTCGCTTGAATAAAGGAACTTCCTCCCCAAAAAACAAAAATAAATCTTTTAGTAGGATTAAAATGGGAAAAACCGAGGGGGAATTCCCCTTTTAGTAGTTCATAACAAACTGAACAACTGAAGCTTAACATAAAATTAATCACTATGTGTTATGTTTATTTAAACCTTTCATTTTGAAAAGGAAATGATTACCACTAATTTCCTTTTGCTTTTGTTCTCAGCGCTAAGCTAAGCTAACAGTTTAATGGCTGTCGCGTCATTATTACTGTACAGACTTGAGCGCTGGCTTTGATCTTCTCATTTTACCGTCAGAATCAAAGTACACACTGGCTTTTATTTCCGGTATGTGTTGAGCTATTCCTTTAAACCACACAGCTGGAGGTGAAGTGCCATGTTCGTTTGAATGGCCAGCACTTCCAGTTTCTTCTCCAGGTTTGACTGGAGAGCAGGTATGTCTGGCTCAGATCATCTTAGCAAAACATCCTTTTCTCTTCTCTCTGCCCCTCAGAAATCTTTGGATGTGGTCAGCTAAGTAATGAGTAATGAGTCATGCTCAGTAGACTGTATATCCTTCTGTCACCATCACTTTTTACTTTTATCTTGTAACCGAACCCCTGTTTTGCATGTAGACCTCCCTACTTCAGCTTTCACTTGAACCGCTCCGAAGCAGCTTTGGTCGTTCTAAGACGACTGTTATGCGCGATTGCCGCCATAAACTGTGCTGGGTCAAGTTGTCTGATTTTTTTTTTTTCTTCTTGTCAAGGTGTTGGATCTAGAAGAAAAGCGAGGAGGTTAAACAAACTCAAAGCTCATTGAAATAAACCTCTGTCAACTCCCACTCCCTGTTTCTGAGTATAGGAATGCGCTGTTGTTGCGCTTCACATCCCACGCAGAATTGCTGCAGGCCTTCAGGTAATGAATGAACAGGGGATGCCCACCCAGCAACCACCAAACAAAGAAAAGTGGGCACACTCACTCCCAGACTGGTAAAGGATGACTGAGTTTCCCACCACCGTGTAACCTCACCGTGTCATTTGTCAGCATGTTTACTGCCCGTTATTCATCTTCAGTGTGGAGATCTATACTGATTGATTTAATCATTAAATAGTGAAATTTATCCCTTAAATTTTAAAATAAACATTTTTTCTAACTGAAAAAGTATCTAAAATAAATTTGTGAGTACAGATTGTCTAATAATGATTGCTTAAAAATGGTTATGGTGTGATGTGAAGTATTCGGGATCATTTAATATGAAATCTAAATGATGGGTAGTAGCTGCAGTGGCATTTTATGCACTTGTTTTACAGTCCACTAAACTTTAATGGAAACCTGCTTAACATGTGATTATTATTTTTTAACTAGGTCGCAATAAGGGAGCAAGGTGAAGGACAGAGCGACGGTGTCATAGAAATGTGAATAGTTGGACATAATTTGACAGCCCTACCGTTCCCTCTAAAAGCTCATCTACATGTTTTAACGTGTCTCTTTAAAACCAAAAGTCCTTCTTGGAGGAAGTCTTGCCACCCGGCAGCCAGTAGGAACAGACACCCTGTAGAGACGGGTGGCAAAATGAGAGAAAAGTCAACATCACACGCCTGAACTGAATGATTTATTCAACATGAGTGTATATTGAGACGGGTGGAGCAAAGCTGTTCCTTGGAAACACGTTTCTGTGTAAGTATATATGTAAGGCGTGTGTTTGAACACTAAAGGTCAGCAACATGTGTAATCATCTCAGATTTGTTATAAGTACCTACGAGTAGCTCATCAGATTTATTACAGTTCTTGAGGTAATGATGAAGGTACAGAAAACAAATCCTGTGTGCCCACTTTTTTCAACTCCCACAGCAATCCCAGCATCCTGTGTAAAAACTCCTTTGTACACTTGCTGGACACTTTATTTGGGATGAACTCTCTCCTGTTCCACCGCATCTCAACGGTGCTCTATTGGACTGAGATCTGGTGACTGTGGAGGTCATTTGAGTAAAGCAAACCTCACTGTCATGCTCAGGCATCCATTTTTAGATTATTTGAGTTTTGTCACATAGTGCGTTATCCTCCTTTTGTCATAGTGATGCACACTAATATCCCCTACAGCATTAAACCAGCAGCCAGACAGAAATCAAGACTCATCAGACCAGATAACGTTTATCAGTCTTCTGTTGTTTCGGTGAGCTTGTTTTAAGTGTTGCCTCAGTATCTTGTTCATAGCTGACAGGAGGTGTCGTCTCCTACTGTTGTAGCT